CAAAAAAAAAAAAAAAAAAAAAAAAGACCTGTAATCCCAGCACTTTGGGAGGCTGAGGCAGGCAGATCACAAGGTCAGGAGTTTGAGACCACCCAGGCCAACATAGTGAAACCCCATCTCTACTAAAAATACAAAATTTAGCCAGGATGGTGAGGTGTGCCTGTAGTCCCAGCTACTCAGGAGGTGCCTGTAGCCCCAGCTTACTCAGGAGGCTGAGGCAGGAGAATCGCTTGAACCTGGGAAGTGGAGGTTGTAGCAAGCCGAGTCTGTGCCACTGCACTCCAGCCTGGACAACAGAGCAAGACTCCATCTCAAAAAAAAAAAAATAAAAGAGGGAGCCATCACAGGCTTTGGAGATGGTAGAGTAGCAATTAGGCCATCACTCACAGCCCTTCCTTTTCTTACAGCCTATGATTCTATCAGAATGGAAGAGGATTCTTTGTGCTGCATGGGGGAGGGGAAGAGCCTGTTTTTCTCACTACCGCCTGCCCCCTGGAGCCATCTCCCATGCCCTTCACCTTGAGGTCGATGCTGAGCAGCCACGTGAGTTTGGTCTTGGAGGGACTTCCGGCCAGCGGGTGAAGCACCATACAAGTGGGACCGTGTTCCGCCCTGGCAAATGGAGAAGTCAAGTCAGGAGGACAGTTGCGAGTTGAGTTCTCTCTTGCACTGGCTGGTTACGCCAGTACCGTAGATACACATTTCTAGAGTAACTTGTCTTTTCTAAGTCTCATCAGGGAAGTGCCCTTTGCCAAGGGTAATTATTTGGCAGTTGGCACGGTTACCACCTCATCAGAATAAAGCCTGCTTGTAGCTGGAGCGGCCCCTGAGGCCGCTCGTGCCCTTTAGTTGCTGGATTACAGGGAGGTCAGGGAAAGGATTCAGGCTGGTGGCTGGGCTAGGGCCTTGTGAAATTTGGGAGGTTGTGGTGTTCTAAGTGGTATGGTTTATTTCAATATTTTAGTCAATATTACAGCTGTACCTGAGCATACTAGCCGAATCTCAGCCCTGCCCCATGCTGCAGAAAATAATAAAGGTTCCTAAACTTTCTGAGAGGGTCAGGGCAAGTTGAAGGTTCTTAAACTTTCTGGGAGCTGCCTGGCTGGCCAGGTAGGGCCTATCTTGTCCTTGTCCCCTACTTTGGTAAATAAGTATCTTTTTGCACAAGGAAGCCCTGGTTGGGGATCAAGGGTTGATTTCTTGGAGCTGGGGATGCAGTCCACATGTTTGGGTACACACCTGCAGGCCTGTGTTGGAAGAGGGGGGTTGGGAGCCTGCCACCCGTATTACCTGATGACACCCTTCTGCTCAGGCATGTTCCCGAAGTCTGTGGCCATGCCAGCCAGCACACAGGTAGAGCCTCGGCGCTTGGCACAGCGCACGCTCACAAAGTCACGGGGCCCCACCAGGTTTCCTGCTGCCTCTGCAGCCAGCTCATGGGTAATGACTGTATCTTTTCCAATCTTCTGCAGGACCTACCAGGCCATGGGGAACCAGAATCACAACTCAGCCCGTGTTGAGCTAATCACCCCCCACAGATAGGGGTCCCCTCTTTGATCCACTGTTTCCACTGGGCTCTCCTGGGCCCCTGCCACCCACACTTGGACTTTGCTTACCTTAATCTCCTTGACACTGGGGTTCCACTCCCCCATTGCCTCCATGCGCTCCACGAGCTCTTCATAGAGCCTCTCCATGGGCTGGTCTACCACGACCTCCAGCCGGAACACCTTGCCCACATCTGGGACCACTTTACTCATCACTTTGTCCCCATTGTCCTGTCAAAGAAAGGAGCCCCCAGAAGAAGGTTAGACAAAAATATTCTTTTTGGATGCAGTGGCTCACGCCTGTAATCCCAGCATTTTGGGAGAACCAAAGTGGGTGGATCACGAGGTCAAGAGTTCAAGATGAGCCTGGCCAAGATGGTGAAACCTCGTCTCTACTAAAACTACAAAAATTAGCCAGGCACGGTGGTGGGTACCTGTAAACCCAGCTACTCAGGAGGCTGAGGCAGATGAATCGCTTGAACTGGGTGGCAGAGGTTGCAGTGAGCCAAGATCGCACCACTGCACTCCAGCCTGGGTGACTTAGACTCCGTCTCAAAAACAAACAACAACAAATATATATATATATATTTTATTTTTTTTAGCCTAGGTCTCATAGATGATAACCAGGCAAGGTGGGAAGGAGAACAGCAAAGGAACTTTAAGCTGAGCACGAGGAAGCCTGGAACTGTCCTAAGATAGAGTCGGTAATCATTGTTGCCGTGGCCTTGTGCGTCTGCTGACGACTGGAGGAGGTTTACCTGCTGTCACTGGGCCCTTTTTTACATTTTTTTCTTGTTTTTTTGAGACAGAGTCTCTCTCTGTTGTTGTCCAGGCTGGAGTGCATGACAGTCACGTGCAGTGACATAACCTCAACCTCCTGGGCTCAAGTAATCCTTCTAGTTGAGTCTCCCAAGTAGTTGGAACTACAGGCATGCATTTTTATTATTATTATTATTTTTTTTATAGAGATCTCCCTGTTTTGCTCAGGCCGGCCTCAAACTCCTAGGTTCAAGCAGTCCTCCTGTCTCAGTCTCCTGGCATAAGCCACTGCGCCCAGCCCCCCTGGACCCTTTCTTTTGGTGGCGAATGATGGTGCTATGGGTAGGTCCCACTGAAAAGACCCTTACTTGACTTCAGAAGCTCAAAGATCCCAAGAGAGAAACCTGGGAGTGGGAAAAGTAGTTTACATCAGCTTAACTAGATACATGGAATATTGATGAGTTCTTAAAAATTTGTTTTAGCTCAATGCCTCATTCCACACCAGAAGAACGTGGGGCCAGAGAATGCCAGTGATTGGCCCAGGAACCCTTAGCTAAGAGCAGTGCTGGCCTAAGTCCCGGGTTCCTTGACTCCTAAACGAGTAGTCTGGTAACTCCATTACTCTGAGAACTTAGGGAAGGAGGGGTTCTACCTGAACTTGGATAGTGGGCAGCATGTCAGCTTTTGATGAAGGTAAAGCCACCATAGTCTCCATAACAGAGCCACCAGCATTTACTGTGAACCTGGTTACTGTCCCCAGTGATGGGGCAGTGCTCAAGCGCAGAGAACCTCAAGTCCATGGGCCACTCTGTGTTTAGTCCAAGCCTGTTTCAGGGTAAGCCCATGTCACCCCAGCAAACCCCGCCACAGGTGGGCTGACAGCACAAGACAGGGCACTTTGGTATCGTTAGGAGACCTGACCCAGGGTGATGAGGACTCGTGTGCACTTAGGAGTCCCCCTTGCATGGTCCCTGCCAAGTGGGTCCACAATGCAGTCCTATCCTGTAGCTAAGGACACAGGAATAGTGTTTCTCCAACAGGACTCTCCAGGGTGCCTTCTATGGGGGAAGAGCGTTAATCTGAATATATTCTTGGGAGAGTTCTCAAGTTAAAACCACTGGCTGCCCAGTGACTGCTGTGAGACAGGAATCCTGGGAAGAACAGTAGCCCCAGCTGGCCTTGAGGATGGCAGTGGAGCAAGGAGGAACCACAGGCTTCTCCCCCACGCTTACCTGCTGGCTCTCCTTCTTCCAGCCCTCCTGGTTGCTTAGGATGCCCAAGGCTTTCTGCATAGCCTCCTCCCCCTGTTGGAGATAAGCCAGCTCCTGGTCACTGTAGAGAGTCTCTTCCAGCCGAGAACCTGGGGTACACAGCCGAAGACAGACAGAGCTTCCTTCATCTCCCAGCCTCCACCAGCTCTCATCCCTGGAACTCTGGGTCTGTTCTTTCCTCTGAAGAGCCAGGACTAAAGCCATAGGGGCCAGCCTGCTGGTCGAGTTAGACACAGCCACCACAGGTGACCGGAGGGGGATCTGACCTTGAGGAACTCTAGCTGGGAATGTTCTGTTAAAATGAAAAAAGGGCAGGAGGGGAGCCAAAGCCATGAACCACATCACCCTCCCAGGAGCTTCCTGCCAGCACTGGGACCCCAGAAGCCTCAGCACTTACCAAGCAGAGAGCTCCGCCGCCGAACCTGGTTAATCCATGCACTAGGGGTGGGGCCCCCCAGGGCCCTCCGGTTCAGCTCCTGGCCGATGGCCATCACAGCCTGTTGCCTCAGCCCTGCAGGGAGGGAAGAACCCTTTTCTAGGAGCTGGAAAGCCTCTTAGAGATGGACCATTCACCTCCTCATCTTGTCACAAGTGAGGAAGTTGGCTTGGAGAGTGACTTGCTCAGGAGCACACAGGATTATAGCAGGGACCTGAACTAGACCCAGGCCCCCAACTCCCGCCGCAGTACTCCAGGGTCCAGAAATCTAACTTCCATCTAGGGTGGTCAGGCCTGGCCCTGCCTGGAGACGGGCTGTACCAGAGCCTGCTGGATTTCCTGTCCCTAAAGGGGAAGAAGCTGTGTTTAAACAACCAGAAAAATCCTACTTCAGAAGGAGAATACAACCCCTGAGGTCTGTGTGCTTGCATGCATCTGTGCTTGCATGAAGTCTGTCTGCTTACATGAGGTCAGTGTGCTTGCATGACGTCTGTTTACATAAGGTCTATGTTTCCATGAGGTCTATGTGTTTCCATGAGGTCTGTGTGCTTGCATGAGTCTGTGTGCTTGTATGAGTCTGTGTGCTTGCATGAATCTGTGCTTGCATGAGACTGTGTGCTTGCATGTGACTGTGTGCTTGCATGCATAATATGCTCTGTGTGCCCCTGGATTCTGAGCCAGGCAAGTCCTATCCATCTAGTGAGGACAACCTTACTGCTGGCTGCAGATCTAAGCATGGCTTCCTGCTCTAACAGTAGCTAATTCAATCCACTGTAATTGGAAAGATTGTGTCTAGATTGACTTGTGTAGCCTTCAGTGGCAGCAGGAGATTGATTCAAATGACCTTGGGTACTAATCAGCTCTACAAAAGTGGCCTCTTGTAGCTGGTTCCTGCCTCTTCCTGGCTATTGAGTGGCAACCAGTCTTCCCAGCCCCACCGTCTTCTCTGTCTCTCTCTTTTTTTTTTTTTTTCAGGTGGAGTCTTGCTCTGTTACGCAGCTGGAATGCAGTGACTTGATCTCGGCTCACTGCAACCTCTACCTCCTAGGTTCAAGCAGTTCTCCTGCCTCAGCCTCCCAAATAGCTAGGACCTCAAGCACACACCACCACGCCCAGCTAATTTTTGTATTTTTAGTATAGATGTGGTTTCACCATGTTGCCAGGATGGTCTCAACCTCTTGACCTCGTGGTCCGCCTGCCGTGGCCTCCCAAAGTGCTGGGATTGCAGGCGTGAGCCACCGCGCCCGGCTGTCTTCTCTTTACCTTGCCCTCCTGTCTTACTCCCCTGTCTCTTCTCCATCTTTTCTTGCCTGTGGGAGTCAAGTCTAGTAATTACCCTGCCACTGTGGGCAAGACTTTCCTAGTATCCCTGCTACAAGCCTTGTCCAGCAGTAAAAGAAGGCAAAGTCAGAAATACTTCAAAAAGATGGCTGGGCATGGTGGTGCATGCCTGTGGTCCCAGCTACTCAGGAGGCTGAGGCAGGAGAATTATTTGAACCCAGGAGGCTGTAGTGAGCCAAGATAGCACCACTGCACTCTAGCCTGGGTGACAGAGCAGATACTGCCTCAAAAATAAAATAGTCCGAGCACTGTGGCCCACACCTATAATCCCAGCACTTTGGGAGGGAGAATTGGGCGGATCACCTGAGGTCAGGAGTTCAAGGCCAGCCTGGTCAACATGGTAAAACCCTGTCTCTACTAAAAATACAAAAATTATCCAGGCATGGTGGTGTGCACCTGTAATCCCAGCTCCTCAGGAGGCTGAGGCAGGAGATCGCTTGAACCCAGGGGGTGAAAGTTGCAGTGAGCCGAGATCTTGCTACTGTGATCAAGGCTGGGCAATAGAGCGAGACTCCGTCTCAAATAAATAAAATAGGCCAGGCCTGGTGGCTCACAGCTGTAATCCCAGCACTTTGGGGGGCCAAGGTGAGAGAATCCCGTGAGCCCAGGAGTTCAAGACCAGCCTGAGCAATATAGTAAGACTTTGTGGCTACCAAAAAAAAAAAAAAAAAAAATTAGCTGGATGTGATGGTGCATGCCTGTAGTTCCAGCTACTCAAGAGGCTGAGATGGGAGGATGGCTTGAGCCCAGGAGTTTGAGGCTGCAGTGAGCTATTATTATTCCACTGTACTCCAGCCTCTGTGACAGAGACCTTGATTCAAACAAAGAAAAGGTAGAAGAAAAAAAGAACAAAGGAAGAAAAAGGGAAGGAAGAAAGGGACGGAGGGAGGGAAGATAAAAAGAAGAAAGAAAAGGAGAAAAAAAGACTGGAGTTCTAGAGGGGAGACCAGAAATTATAGAACCTGGATGGGATACATCTTAGTAACCAGCCCACTTCTTCGGAGGGGAAAACTGAGATTCAGATGAGAAGAAACTTGCCCAGGTTCACCTAGTAAGAGGTACAACTAGGATCAGAATCGGGTGGCCTGAGCCTCATCCGAGAGCTCTTGGCCAACCCCTCATCGCCTCCTTCCCGCAGCGCTCACCCTTCATGTTGCGCATGTGTCTGTAGGAGCTCCCGGCACATAGCTTGAATGTCGCTAGCAGCATTGTTTCCTGGAAGATGTGGCAGTGGTGGGGCCGCTGCTGCTGCTGCTGCTTCTCTCAAGAGTGGTTCTTCGTCCTTCTGGAGCCCCTCAAGCTTCACCTCTGAGTGCCGCAGCTGCAGCCTGGACCTGGTGTTCTGCGTCTTAAATACCCCCCGCTGAAGGCTGTGCATCATCATCAGGAGATAAAAACGCCATCACTCACTGTGCAAAGGAAGGGGTCAAGGATAGAATGATTGCCTCACACTGTTGCTTTGGCCATTTGTGGGGAGCGCAGGGGGAGGGTGTAGCGGGGAGTGGGGAGGCCAGGGTCAGGCTGGAGAGACGGAGGGGAGAGAAGCAGCGGCTGCTGGGATGGGGGCAATTTAGATGAAGCCAAGTGCAGATTTCTAGCCCTTGTCCTCAGAAACTCCATGCTCAGCTGATCTGGAATTGAGGCTCAGAAACCTGCATTAAAAGAGAAGAAAAAAACTTCCCTTGGCCAGGCACAGTGGCTTACACCAGTAATCCCAGCCCTTTGGCCGAGGTGGGCAGATCACTTGAGGTCAGGAGTTGAAGACCAGCCTGGCCAACATGGGAAACCCTGTCTCTACTAAAAATATAAAAAATTAGCCAGGTGTGGTGGTGCACACCTGTAGTCCCAGCTACTAGGGAGGCTGAGGCACAAGAATCACTTGAACCCAGGAGGCAGAGGTTGCAGTGAGCCAAGATCACACCACTGCATTCCAGCCTGGGCAACAGAGTGAGACTCCGTCTTCGTACATACATACATACATACATACATACATATATACATACATACATACATACATAACTTTCCAGTGGTTGCAATGCATGTGTTGTGTGTCCACACTACACTTTGAGAACCATCTCAGGCGAGCAAGCCAGGGTGTTTAACAGGCAGTAGAGACCATCCGGCTGCTGTTCTGGGTGAGGACCCTGAAGTCCAGAGAGTGGAATTGACTTGTTCGAGGTCAAACAGCTGGCCAGGGGCAGGGCCAGAACAACAACCCAAGCCTCTGGGCTTCAGGCCATCTGCACAGTTCCTCCTGCAGTCCCCAGGACACTTGGTATGTTCAGCTGACCATTTATTTACTCATCCATTTATAGAAACAACCTTTCCCAAAGCCCTGTCCTGAGTGAGAGTTCCTCTCGGGTCTGTGCTGGAGCAAGAATCACCTCTCATGGCTGAGTTGGGGGTGCAGCCTTATCAGCTTACAGCAGCGAGAAGACCTGGGCCTGGGCCATGCCCGCACCCTTTCTCACACTTTTCCCCCAGTAGCTTTGGCTGGATGAGCTGGGCTGAGGGTCTTGGTATGTGCAGAAGCTTGGAAAGACAGGGCATCGGGGTGTTCACCCTAGTCTTTGCACTTCGGAGGCCCTGTCAGGCTGAGCAAGGCCCTGGGAGGTCTCTGCATTTCCCACTCACCCTCACCCAGGCACAGCACGTGCTGGGCTCTGACGGAATATCTTCCCTTTATGGTGACCTTGAGGCTACTTTTAAGCCAGATTGATTCACTGGTCAAGAATATTGGGAGTGGAAAGACTTGCACTGGAACTGCCCCTAGCCAGGGCCCTGCTCCCTGTGTGAGGGGGTTCTGTGTCCTCCTACCACCTCAAGGAGGCAGAGGGGAGCCCTAAAAATGGGGAGCAGTACCGGGGCCCCACACACTCTCACTGTCTTCCCCACTCCAGACAGGGTGAAAGGGACAGGATCTGCTCAGAACCAGGCCTGGCACCTGGAGCCCATACAGAACAGGGGAGTTGTCCTCCCGACCCGATTTCCACCCTGGTGAGGCAGTGGGCGGGGTCCTGGAGCCCAAACAACTGGGGAGTCATTCCCCCAACCCCTGATTTCCACCTTGGTGAGGCAGTCAGGGGAATCCTGTGAGCAGAGGCTGCCCAGAGGCACCCGGCCCCTTCCTCAAGTCCTTCTCCTCCCGGAAGCCTTCCTAGACCACCCCCATCTTCTGGAATGACTGGTTCCTCCCACCACACCCTTACGGTCAGTATCACTTGAGGGGCTTAGCTCTGGTCCTGATTTGTTGACTGGTTTGTGTGTGTTTGCTTATCTCTTCTGTGGAATTATCTCCCCAAGGCAGGTGCTGGGTCCACCTTCCCCCTTAAATGCTGCCCTCACCCTCAGCACTCAGCTCCATCAGAGACACAGGGGATTTTTGCTTCTTCTCTATTAAATTTTTTTTTTTTTAAATAGAGATGGGGTCTTGCTATGTTGCCCAGGCTGGTCTTGAACTCCTGGGGTCAAGCCATCCTCCTGCCTCTGTCTCCCAAAGCGAGCCACTGCGCCTGGTGTGTTCCTCCTCTATTAAGTGACCAACTGGGAAAGCAGCTAGGCGAGCAGGTACATCCTTAGAAACCTGCCTGAAGGCATTGTTTCCAGCCCTCAGAGAGTCCACAGGAGGACAGAAGGGCCTCTCCCCCTCGGCCAGCCTGTGCCTAGGCCCTTTCAGAGAGGAGGTGCAGTGGATGGGCTGGGCAGGCCAGGTACCAGCTCCCCTGCCTCGTCTCTGATCTGCTGGGGCATGTGCCCCTCCCGCATATGTGTGCCTGCAGGCCTGCCTCAGCAAGGTCGGGGGGGGGGGGGGGGGGGGGGGGGGAGTTGGGAGGCGGTTATTATGGGACATGCCATGCAGATGATCATCAAGGCCCTGCTGCTGCCTTTCTGTGGAGAATTATGGCTTTTCTGAGAGGGGAGGAGGTGGGAGGATCAAGCCTATGGCCATGGCTGATGTCAGAGGCTGCGACTGACTCTGGAGGGAGATTGGGAGGTGGTGCTGAGTGACCTCCGCAAGGGCCAAGGCTCTCTTCCTCATTCTTTCCAGGCAGAATGACTTGTTAACTCTTGCCATCCCTCTGAGCAGTAAGGTGGCAAGAGCAGTCTGGGAATTTCCTCTGGTTCTGGACCATCTGTATCTGGCTCTGCTTTTTGATGAGGGCAGGGCTTCCAAGAAAGGAGGCCAGATGGCCACAGCAGACCAGGGGGGAGGATAGCCTGGGGCCCAGCTCAGGTGGTGTGGGTGTGTCATGCTGGAGAAGGCCCCAGTCCAGGGGAGAGAGCCAGGGCTTTGGAGCAGACAAAGGGGATTCCAATCCCTCCCTTCCCCCCTCTTTCCTTCCTTCCTTCCTCACTCCCTCTCTCCCTTCCTTTCCTCCCTCCCTTCCTTCCCTCCCTCCCTCCCTTACTTCCTTTCCTACCTTCTTCCCTCCCTGCCCTCTTCCCTCCCTCCCTCCTTTGTTTCTTCCTTCTTTCCTTCCTTCCTTCTTCCATTTATTCAACAGCCCTTTCCAGAATGTCCCCAAATAGCGGTAAAGCTAGGATGA